TGATTTCTTACATGTTCAACAGACCAAACACTGAAAACACCTTCCTTAATTCCTTATATTCACAAAGTTCCTCTTCACTGTGGCTCTGAATGTGAATATTAAGGATTGTAGAATATCTAAAGTGCTCCCCACATTGTTTTTTGTTTGTTTGTTTTCAGGCAGGATCTTGCTCTATTGCCCAGACTAGAGTACAGTGGCGTCATCATAGCTCATAGCAACCTCAAACTCCTGGGCTCAAGCAATCCTCCAGCCTCAGCCTCCCAGACTGCTGGGAATATAGGCATGAGCGACCACGCCCAGCCTTCCCCCATTGTTTGCTGCATTGTTTTGCTGGAGTGGCCATAACGAAATACCATGCACTAGATGGCTTAAACAGAATTTATTTGCTCATAGTTTTGGGGGCTGGAAGTCCAAGATCAAAGTGCTGATAGGAGCTGTGTAGGGTGGCTCACACCTGTAATCCCAGCACTGTGGGAGGCTGAGTCGGGAGGATCACTTGAGGCCAGGAGTTCAAGACCAGCCTGGTCCACACTGTGAGGACCCTTCTCTACAAGAAACAAAAGACATTAGCTAGGCATGGTAGTAGCACATGCCTATAGTCCCAGCTACTCTGGAGGTGGAGGCAGAAAGATCACTTGAGCCCAGGAACTCAAAGTTACACTGAGCTGTGATCACAACACTGCACTCTAGGGATGGTTTCTTCTAGAGGCCTTAACAGAAAGATCTCTCCTCTTGCCTTGCAGATGACCATTTGTGGTCACTTCACATGGAATTCTATTCCTGCTACCCTGGTATCTCTTTCACCTCTTATAAGAAAACCAGTCATGTTGAATTGGGGGGGGGGGTCCCATTTTAAATTAATCACTTCTCTAAGACCCTTATCTCCAAAATATCATTGCATCTTGAAGTCCCAGGGGTTAAAGGCTTACCAGAAGAATTGGGGAGGGGGGCAGGACATAATCTAGGCCATTCCACTTATATTCATCAAATTGTTCTCCAGCATGAGTTGGCATATAGATATTAAAGCTTGTGGCACGAAGGAAGGGTTTTCCCACACTGCTTACATTCATAGCAAATAATGAGTTGAGTTCTTAAACGTTTATTAAGGTCTGAACACTGGGAAAAGTCTTCCCCACATTCCTTACATTAACATGGCGTCTCTCCACTGGGAATCCTTACCTATACCTTAAGTCTTGAGGAACAAGTGAAGGCTTTCCCACATTCCTTACAATCATAGGGTTTCTGTCCAGTAAGAGGCTGTTTAAATCCTAAGGATTTAATAAAGCCTTTCCCATATTCCCCATAAATATAGGGTTTCCTGTCACCGTAAATTCTTATATGTTCATTAAGACCTGAGACAATAGTGAAGTGGATCCCACAATCCTAACTCCCAGAGCATTTCTTTACAATGTAACTTTGTTCACAACTTTCGAGTGAATGGGAAGAGAGAGCTTTCCCACAATCCTAACACTGATAAGGTTTCTCTCCATTATGAGTTTTTTTTAATGATATCGAGAGGGACTATAAGATTTGAAGGATTTATATTATATTTGAAGGATGATACTCCTTGCATCACAAGATTCCTTTCCAGTGAGTGAATTCATATACTTGAAATGAATCAGAGTAACTGAAGGCCTTCCCACATTGTTTACACTTGTAGGGTTTTTCTCTAGTGTCAGTTCGCAAGTGACTATTAAGGCTTGTGAAATGCTTAAAAGCCTCCCCACATTCCTTGTACGTGTGTGGTTTTTCTACAATGTGAGTTCGCATACGAATATTAAGGGAGAAGGAGTATATAAATCCTTTTCCTATAGCACCTCAAATAACATCTCTCCAGAATGAATTCTCGCATATGCATTAAGGTTTGAGGAACTAGTGAAGGCTTTCCAACATTCCTTATATTCACAGGGCTCTGTCCACTGTGAATTTATAAACATTTAGGAAGGGCTGAGCAATGATGAAGGCATTTCAATTTTCTTTGTAGAGATGGGCTATGTTGCCCAGCCTGGTCTCAAACTCCTGGCCTCAAGTGATCCTCCTACTTCCATCTCCCAAAGTACTGGGATTGTAGGTGTGAGCCACGGTGAAGGCATTTTTTAAAAATTTACAGACTTCTGGTTCCCAGTTCCCACATAAAGAGCTTGGAATTTGACACTCGGTCCCAAGAAGAAGTAAAAAGCTGAACAACCTGAAAAATCAACAACACTTCTTAGATGTATAAGAAAAATAAAGTCACAGGAAAAACTGCTACTTTCAAAATTGGTGACAGACAGGTGGATACAAAGAATCACAGAGCAGAAACCACCTCAGGGACCAGTACCAGGGAAGGAAAACTAATCACTGAAGAACTGTGAAGGACAGGTATGGACAAGCCTGGGAGTTAAAAACTCCGGTCACTGGCAGGGGTTCCCCACACTGTATGAGTTTTACCTCCAGGAACTCCGGTTCTCGCACTAAGTATCAGAGAAAAATCCCCTCGTGCTTTTGGTAGAGGAAGTGAAAAAGGAACCATTTTTACACATACCAGGGCACTCTGTTCTTCTTTACAAGGTCTGCCCTCGGGAGAAATTAGTTAACCGAAGCCTAATCTTCTGGGGTTTTATGAGAGCCTAAATGAGCAGAAGGAAGGGAAATATCCAACTCCAGCCATCTCTAGCCATCCTGACCCAATTAGAGGAAGGAAAAAAACTGTTAAGTTCACACAGTCCAGAGGCACAGACTCATCAAAAGACCAAAATCTAATCACTGGATAATAGAACACTTCCCCTCTCCCCAAAACTTATCACCATGTTACTAAGGGCCTGTTAACAGCAGTTCCTCTTACCCAGTATGTCAGGTCCAGCTATCAGGGAAAAATTACAAGGCATATTAAAAGGCAAAAGTCAGTTTAATGAGAGCAAGCACCAGATATGGCAGGAATACCGACATTATCCGACTGGGAATTTAAAACAATTATGGTTAATATGCTAAGGATGCTAATGGATAAAGTAGACAGCACCCAAGAAGAGATGAACAGTGTAAGCAGAGAGATGGAAATTCTAAGGAAGAAGCAAAAAGAAATTCTAGAGATTGAGAACATGTAACAGAAATGATGAACACCTCTGATGGGCTTATTACTAGACTGGAAACAGCTGACTAAAGAGTCTCCGAGCTTGTTGCTATATCAATAGAAACATCCACAACTGAAAAGCAAAGAGAACTAACACTGAGGGGAAAAAAACAGAAGACATAAGAACTGTAGGACACCTAAAAAAAGTTGTAACGTATGCATAACAGGAATGCCAGCAGGAAAAGAGAGAAAGGAATAAAAGAAATTTTGAAAGAATAATGACTAAGAATTTCTTAAAATTAATCTCAGACACCAAAGCAGAGATCCAGGAAGCTCAGAGAACACCAAGCAGGATAAGCTTCAAAAAACGCTACACCTAGGCATATAATTTTTAAATTACAGAATGTCAAAGATAACAAAAAAATCCTGAAAAAAAAGCCAGGAGGAAAAAAATGTGTTATGTATATATGAACAAGGGGAAGAATTACATCCGATTTTGAGCATAGGAGAAGAAATAAGTGGAAGTAAAATAAAAATTTTTCTTTTCTAATTCTTAATTGAGCTAACAGATAACTTTTCAAATATTAATAGTTACAATGTATTAGATTATATAGGCTCATTGTGTGTGTGAAAATATATGTGAAATGAATACAACAATGATGGAAGGGAGGATTTAGGATTATTTTGTCATTACTAATACTACTCATGAAACAGTACAGTATCATAAATGTGAGGTTGCATATAAATATCAGTGGAAGTAAAATAAAAATTTTTCTTTTCTAATTCTTAATTGAGCTAACAGATAACTTTTCAAATATTAATAGTTATAATGTATTAGATTATATAGGCTCATTGTGTGTGTGAAAATATATGTGAAATGAATACAACAATGATGGAAGGGAGGATTTAGGATTATTTTGTCATTACTAATACTACTCATGAAACAGTACAGTATCATAAATGTGAGGTTGCATATAAATATCATGGCATGTAAATTATTTAAAGGTTATACCACATTCCTTACCTTCCTAGAGTTCTGCAGTAATTGTAGACATGTAAAAAGAATTTTGTGGAATGAAAGTTTTCCTACATGACTTACAAGCAGGTTTCTCACCAGTTTTACTTCTCACACTTTCTATAAGGTAGAAAATATTAACGTAAGCTCTTCCACAATCCTAATGGGGTTTTGGTCCATTCCATGGTGTATAAACAAGGTCATAGTCCTTCCTTTCACAGTAAAAGAAACTTTCTTTTCTTTCCTTTTTTTTTTCCTCCTTATTTTCATATGGTCTATTATCAGATGCCTTGTATATGAATATTAAGATATGATGAACACTTGTAGGCTTTTTCACATGCCTTACATTCATAGAACTTCTCCCGTGTGGTTTCGTACATGTTCAGAAAGGGCTGAAGACTCAGTGAAGGCTTTCCCACATTTCTCACATTCGTATGGTTTCTCTCCAGTGTGGCTTTGCACATTACGAATATTAATCAAGGCCTTTGGACAATCTAAATGGTTTTTACAGATTGTTTATGGTACTCATTTGCTAGAGCTACCATAACAAAATACGACAATCTGGGTGCCTCAAACAAGAGAAATTTATTTGTTCACAGTTCTGGAGGCTAGAAGTCTAAGACCAAGATGCCAGGAGGGTTGGTTTCCTGTGGAGGCCTTAATAGAAGGATCTATTCCAGCCCCGTCTTTGGCTTGCAGATGGCCATCTTCTGATGACTTCACATGATCTTCTGCGTGTGTGTCCCTGACACATCTTTCTCTTCTCATAGGGACACCTGGCATGCTGGATTGGGGCTCTACCCTAACAGACTCATTTTTATTAAATAATTTTCGTAGGTTTCACAGAGAACTCCTGTGTGAGTTCTTTCATGTCTTCAAAGTGATCTGGGACAAATGAGGCCTTTCCCACGTTGCTTATAACAACACGGTTTCTCACTAGTGAGTCCTTTCATGTCTCCGAAGTGAACGGGGATGACTATAAGCTCTCTCACATTGCTGACATTTATAGGGTTTCTCTTCAGCGTGAGTTCTTTCATGAATTCTAAAGGAACTGGAACATATGAAGGCTTTACCACACTCCTTACATTCATAGGGTTTCTCTCCAGTGTGAGTTCTTTCATGTATTTGAAATGAACTGGAATGACTGAAGGCCTTCCCACATTGTTTACACTCATAGGGTTTTTCTCCAGTGTGGATCCGCATGTGAATTTTTAAGTGGGTGGAATAGTTAAAAGCCTTCCCACATTCCTTACATGTGTATGGTTTTTGGGAACTGTGAGTTCGCATGTGATTATTAAGACATGAAGGATACCCAAATACTTTCCCACATATCTTACACTCACAGGCCTTCTCTTCAGTGTGAGTTCTCAAATGTCCACTAAGATTTGAGGAAATAGCAAAGGCTTTTCCACATTCAACACATACAAAAGGCTTCTCTCCAGTGTGAGTTCTTATATGTTGAATAAGGCGTGAGGATGTAAGGAACGATTTCCCACATTCCTTACACTCATAGCGCTTATCTCCACTGTGAGATCGTACGTGTATACTAAGGCCCGAGTACTGAGTGAAGGCTTTCCCGCATTCCTTACATACATAGGGCTTCTCTCCAGTGTGAGTTCTTCCATGTATTTGAAATGAATTAGAATAATTAAAGGCCTTCCCACATTCCTTACATTCATATGGTTTCTCTCCAGTGTGAGTTCGCATGTGAATATTGAGGTATGCCGGATATCTATAGCCTTTTCCACATTCCTGACATTTGTAGGGCTTTTTTGCATTGAGGGTTTCTAATAGCACAGAAAGGCTTGTGGAGTGAATAAAATCTGTCCCATATTCCTTCCATTCATAGAGTTTTTCCCCATTGTGACTTCTCATATGTGCCTGAAGGCATGACTGACTTATGAAGGATCTCCCACAGTGATTGCATCCAAAGGATTTCTCTTGTGTGTTAGTTCTCTGGTACACAATATTTGGTGTCAGGCTGAAGATTTTCCCACTCCGATTTAACTCAGGAAGTTTCTCACCAGCAGAGGTTTTCTTGTGCAGGAAGAGAAAGTCTTTCCCATACCGATTACAGTCATACGTGTTCCCTAGACTTTGGGTTCTCATGTGTGTCTTAAGGCATGAGTGTTCACTGAAGACTTCTCCGTGTAGCTTACAATCACAGACTTCTCCTGCATTGTGGCTTCCTTCCTGTTGATGAAGGGATGAATGACAATTTAAGTATTTTTTCAAACACATTAATAGATTCCACCCATCTGAAGATAAAAACATGATGATGATGATGATTATGATTTTTGCCATTTTCATTACACAGTGTATATACAATTCCTGCCTTGCTGATTTTTTTCCAATAGTATGACTGAATGCTTATCCCAGAATGTTATGTCATCTATTCTAATCTTAAATGGACTGCTACAGAATTCCAAGATATTGTTTTAAAAACTCAACGTCTAGTTACATATGTGGGGAATGTGTACTCCTGGGAAAGCTAAAGAAATAAGTTCTATTCTGGTTTGGGGCATACTCAAATTCATCGTATTCAAGCTGTCTCTCTAGAGATATCACTTTCTTTTGCATGTATGCTACTGCTCTCAAATATCTCTTATTTTTGCTGATTTTCTATAATGGCATTCCCGATTTTTCTCTAAGGGTAGAAAATAATAAACATCCCTTGTTAATCTTACTGTTTGAATCCCAACGGATGTCTGACCCCTCAAAAATTCCTGCTGAAGTGCTGACCATTTGGTTTCAAATTGCATTTCCCATCCTGAAATAAAACAGAGAAAAAGAAACGGAAGACTGACTTGAGTGAAAAACAATAAGCCTCATTTGTATTTGTTTTCAAATTCAACACAGTAAGAAAAAGAAGAGAGAGATTTGAGGATTCTGGTTATGTCAAAAATTTGTCAAAGACAAGGGCGTGGGATAAAAATTTTCGATCGTTTATTACAAATTGATTCTGTGAAAATTAAAACTGATGGTGAACAGAAAGAGAATATTAGGGAATTAAAGTTGGAAATTTCTGGAAAAAGAGCTTACAACAAAACAATAAACATATCCCTTGTTAATGGGGGCATTATCCACAGGGGATATGTTCCAAGACCCCCAGTGGATGCCTGAAACAGCATATAGTACCAAACCCTATATATTCTATGTTTTTTGATCTGGTAACTGAGGCGGCTACTAAGTAACTAATGGGCAGGTAGCATATAGAGTGGGGAAATGCTGGAGAAAAGGATGATTCCTGTCTTGGGCAGGATGACACAAGATTTCATCACATAACTGAGAACAGTGAGCAATTTAAAACATGAACAATTTATTTCTAGAATTTTCCTTTTAATGTTTTTGGACTATAGTTGACTGCAGGTAACTAAAACTGTGGAAAGCGAAACCATGGACAAGGAGGCCTACTGTATAAGTGAAAGAGTGTGAGAAGTTGAGTATTTCCTGACTTCTGAGATGGCCCCAACCTTCTGAAGGAAAATGCATCTTAAAAAGCTGCTTCATTATACTTCCAAACGTACTGAACTTCTCATTAACCAGGGTTATTCTTCACGAACACTCACCTTGGAAAACTCCTCCCTGAACTGCCTTTAACTCCTCTTGTTCCAACCAAGTGATCAAACTGGGTTTTATGAGCTGACATCCTGAGCACAGGGAAAGATGTTAATGGAGGAGGCTCATGTAAGAGATCATAAACCATCTTACAATTCAGGAACTACAGTTCTAATCAAAGCAGTGAAATTATTTCAAAAGGGCTAAAAATGCAAATAATGCCTCTGTACCCCCAAAAGTTCAGTTACCTCTGTCCCCTAAGACTCAAATCCGGGTTTATGTACACATTTACAAGGCACTAAGACTTTTATTCAAATAGGAAATAAAGGAAAGGTAAAAGAGATCTTCATTATCCTGGAAAAACAACTACATCAGTGGTTCTCAAAACACTATTGTGCATCAGAGTCATCTAGACCAGGGTACCCGACCTGTGGTGAGTTGTATAATTATTTCAATATATATAACAATGAAATAACGATAGAAACAGAGTGCACAATAAATGTGCTTGAATCATCCTGAAACCACAGCCCGCCTCCCCTGTCCATGGAATAATTGTCTTCCATGAAAACAGTCCCTGGTGCCAAGAAGATTGGGGACTGCTGATTTAGAGGATGTGCTGGAACACAGATGACTGGACTCCAACTCCAGGTTTCTGATTCACTATGTCACAAGGTGGAGAAAGAAAATGTACATTTCTGACACTGATGGTATTGCTATTGATCTTGCACCACGTTCTGAGAACAACCACAGTAGATCAAAGCCTATTTAGGGCAGGGACTATGTTTGTCATTCCCACTGTATTCAGAGTTGACATCACCGATGCTGCCACGCAGTGAGCACGTAACATGTATCAGTGCCACAAAAGGCTACAAGGACTGGCAGTCTCACCTACTGTGGCCAGGTTGTTGTAGTTCTCCAGCATCACATCGCTGTACAGGTTTCTCTGAGTTGTGTCCAGCAAAGTCCACTCCTCCTGGGTGAAGTCCACAGCCACGTCATCGAAGGTCACCAAATCCTAAACCATCACACGCATGCTGGTTTGAGCCACATACCATCTCTACCAGTGTTCACCGGAGAATGAGGGGGGGACCTAGTGCCTGTACAGGAATCCGAGGTCTGTAATTATCAACCCCAAGGTCCGATGGTCCTAGAAACTCTTTTATCTAAACACGTTCACAGTGGATCTCCGCCAGTCATATGGCTTCTTGAATATGAATTTATCTCACCGCACCCAGACTAGGAAATCTCATCGTATTTTCATCTATTAGAGCACACTGCTCAGCATTTTCCAGACATTTCATCAACACTGATGAACAAATACATTCTTTGGGTAAAGGAAACTTCCATCTGCGTTGCTGCCTGTCAGAACACCCAGCAAAAGAAGAAACATGCAGTCAGCCCCATTAGGGTGAAGATTAATTAGTAATTACTAAAATACTGGGATGATTTTAAAGTTAACACCTCACCCATGTGAAGGGGCTCCTTTCCCTTCAACTGGGAACTCAGTCCCTGAGCAAAGCTTTATTTGCTTTAAGAGCCTCTGGAGACAAGGCTGTCTAGAAGGAAGTCGGTCTACCTGGTCAAGATGCAGCATGTCATTCTGTACAAGGATACAGCTTCCTTTTACCTGATAGTAATTTTTCAGGCAGTCAGCCACCATCCTTCCTGCCTCTGTCTTTGCTTCATGAAGGCAGACTGGGTCCCCAGAAAGACGATGTCCTGGAACAGTAACGAAGCATGAGAACTCAGAGCTGAGTGTGATTCCCACATCTATATACCTGGAAGTCACTCCGTCCTAGTTTGAAATTCCCATATACTCCTGCACAATCAAGAAGACACATACATCTACAACCTACTGCCGTACAATGCCAGAGCAGTCTGTCTCACCTACAGCCGGAAAAGGGGAGGGTCGGCCATGCTGCCTGACAGGAAAAGTTTAATAGTCTTATTTTACAGATAGGAAACTTACACCCTGAGCAATGTGACTTTATCATGATGACAGAACTCATGAAGGAGACTACGCAGCACCTCTTCCCAAAGCACACATCCCAGGGGGCCGACTTACAAAACAGCACACTATGGCCCGCTTCAGCACCTCCCAAAAGAGCCAGTAGTGTGACTATTCAGCCCAGACCACAGCACTCTGTATCGTTTAGGGAGAAGCTACAGAAGCGTCTCAGAAAAAGAGCATCAACGGGACTTACCAGGGGACAAATCAACAGCTGCCATCCTACGAGGTGAAAATGGGCCTGAACGCTCCTTTCTTTGATGCCAACATCACTTCAGCGCAGCCTGTGAATCTAAGTGGATAGTGGCAATCCTCATTCCTGTTTATACAGGGCTTCTGGGATTCCTGTTGGTATCAACCATTAATCAACAAGCAATACTTAATCATCAGTCATCAAACATCATACATCAGGCCAGGAGAGGTGGCTCACGCCTGTTATCCTAGCACTTTGAGAGGTCCAGGCAGGAGGATTGCTTGAGGCCAGGAGTTCAAAACCAGCCTGAGCAAGAGCAGACCCCGTCTCTACAAAAAAATAGAAAAATTAGCCAGGTGTGGTAGTGTACATCTGTAGTCCCAGCTACTTGGGGGGCTGAGGCAGGAGGATCCCTTGAGCCCAGGAGTTTGAGGATGCAGTGAGCTATGAAGACGTCACTGCACTCCAGCCCCCAGAGACAGAGTAAGACCCTGTTCTCAAGAAAAAACAAACAAAAAAATCATTAGTTCTCTCTCTGCAGACAATATATGTAGAGGTCACTAAAAATGGTGTACTCTGTCACATGAGTATCAGGAACACTGACTGCCATTTACTGAGATGGCTATGTGTCAGAAGTTACACTAGGAGATGTATAAATACATAAATGCATATACACACATGCTCAATTATCGTAACTACCATTTCCAGTAGAAATCATTGTCCCTATTTCATACTGAAAAGACCTACATTAGACAACATTTGTAATTGGTCAATAGCACCCAGTTTCAGAAGTGATAAACCAGAACTTGAATGCAGGTAAGGTTTTTGCAAAGAAATCTCAGAATACAGTTAAGGACTGGGCAGCCTCAACAGGTCTTGGCTGGAAACATTCTACAGATCAGCCTTCCCCCTTGCACTGGCAGAGGGGTGATGCCACAGTAGACTGTGCCCAACACTTATCTACTATATGGGTCTTCTTATCTATAGTATGAGTCTATTACATGGGTATTCATAAATACTACGAACCACCTTTTCATTGTATTTATCAGGTTCATTTCTTCATCAAGGTTTTCTTTTATTTTTTGTAGAGATGGGGGTCTCGCTATGCTGCCCAGCCTGGTCTCAAGTGATCCTCCTGCCTCTGCCTCCTAAAGTGCTAGAATTACAGGTGTGAACCACACCTGGCCCTTCTTTTATTTTTATTAATTTCTTTCCCACACTTATTTCATGATTTGTTAGTTATCTTTTAACCTTCTGTATCTTAAACATTAACTTTTTTCAGTTAAAAATTAATGAAAGTGATTAACAAATCAGACACAGAACAGCAGCTCAAACGATGACCAACAGAATGGTAGTCAAATGATGATAAACACTGAAAGTTCCTCAGTTCATCATCCATGAAGCAAATTCACTCTCCCAAAAACCCTACAGGTCTCACTCCACGGATGACATTAACACCCTAATGTCACAAAAACCACATCTGGACTCGTGGTACAGATCACACCTACTACCAGGGGTCTCAAATGGGGATCCTTATGCTGGATAGGCCCACAAATGTGTTTAGTTTGATGGCACCTACATAGAATATTTAACTTTAATTATTAAAAATTGACATATAATCAATGTATGTTCAAATGCACACATCTTAAGTATTAATTGGAAGAATTTTGACAATTGTATACACTCCTGTAATAACAAAGCCTAAACAAGATGAAGAATCCAATCATTTACCTGCAGAAGGCCCACTGCACCTTCCAGTCTGTTCCCTATAAGGCCCACACAAGCACTTTGTGATTTCTTCCAGCTACTAGGTACAATAATCTGTATATGAACATTAGGCACATTGCTCATCCTTTTCAAATTTACGTCCTAACTCATTTTTTCTCTATCGTATAAAGAAGCAATATGGGAGAACTATGTTAACCTCCCACTGGAATCATGGACTTGACTATTCTTGTGTGACTGTGAAGTATTCCTTTACAAATTTTTAAGAACTGGATAGACATACATTTTGAACTTTAATATTTTTGAAGAAACAAAATCTTTTACTTTAATGGACACTATATACCTCTAGGAATGCTTTATGACAATGTCATGTGACTGCAGAATCTGCTTTCCTTTGGTGAGTTTTTGCATATTGTGGGCAGCACTGTCTCCTTTGGATGCCAATGTTCCCCAGTGCCTGGCACAGACTGACTCACCAAAGGGACCCAGTGATTGCTGCGTGACAACCAAGATCCTTTTCAAATTTTACACAACTTTCTCAACTTTACGAGACACTTATCAGGGTATTAAGTGCATTTCTCACTGACAATTTCAAGTCACGATGGGTTTATCTGGACATGGCCTCATTGTACATGGAGGAGCATCTGTATTCAAGTATAGCTAGATTATAGCTAAGTAACTGTTCCTAATACAATATAAATGAGTTTCCAATAAAAATGTATCAAATTACTCCAAGAATCCAAGGCTGGGAAGAACACTTCTCTGCACTCTCCCGCCACCCGTGGCTTGTCTAGACGCTGAAGACTGGTTTCCCATGGCCTCCTGATGTGGATGCTTAGTTCCCTTGGTCTTATACCTGTGCTGGCACGCTGACTTCCTCTGCTCAGTAGCCTAACAGGGCTTCTCTGCATTTCACAGGGTTGCTTCCTGCTTACCCAGTGACTGCCGACTAGCTCTGGCCCAGGCAACCCAGTGAACTTCACCATCTAATGGGCTGCAATGACACCTTCTCTAACAAGGTCTGCAGCCCAGTCTTAGGGAGAAGGACCTGCTACAAGTTTGCTTTCCTTAGGGACTGTCGCTTATAAGATATAAGTTAGAGTTCTCTTTGTATCTTTATGTTACACTTCTGTTTAAATCAAGGTATGACTTCTGTTTTCTGGCTGAACCCAGACTGATACAGTATTGAGACAGACCAATCTCAGGAATTAGGCTTGAGGTTTGGGGTTTGTTCTGGTCAAGTCTTTAGGCATAAGCAAAGAGCTCAGCTTGTGACCAGTGGGAAAGACATTCAGTGGCATCACATCAATCAAGGTATTTCCTATGTTTGATTGTAAAGTGCCCACTGAAGCACTTGCCTTGGAACTCCAAGTGAATAATGCACTTAATCATTACAGTAGTAACAATGACTACGAACACTGTGGTGAGGGATGGATTCTTTTGAATGTACTTGCACTGAAAATGTCAACCTCAGATCTTCTCATTTGCAGCTCAATCAATGTCTGAGAATCAGAAAGCTTCTGTGACAGCCCTTAAAGATATTTCTTTTCTTGTCTCCACAAGGCTGATATAGTTGAAAGCCAAACACAAATTTTAACTTAAAAGATTAAACTACAACCATGGCACAGTCTCACCTAGTTTTTCAGGTGAAAATTAGGGCATTAATCAGTTATTGTAAATGACGAAGTAATACCCCTCGTGTGATCTCTACCCAGGGAGTCAAGAGGTTGGGTGATATGGGGTAGATGCTTCCTGAAAAAAGCAATAGTTTCTACTACTTTTAGTAACCTGCACCAAAATTCCCTTTCAGCATGAAGTATAGGGACGTATGGACGTATGTTTAGCAGAGAACAAGGAGTACGGGCTAAGCAGACAGTAAACTTAAGAAAAAGAAAGGAAAGAAAGGAAAGAAGGGGAAGGAAGAGGGGAAGGGGAGGAAAGGAAGAAGGAAAGAAGGAGGGAGGGAAGGAAGGAAGGAAGGAAGGAGAAAGAAAGAAGAAAGAGGAAAGGAAGAGAAGGAAGGGAAGGGAGGGGAAGGAGGAAGGAAGGAAAGAAGGGAGGGAGGGAGGAAGGGAGGAAAGGAGAGGAAACAACAGAGAGAAGATCACTGTGGTGGAAATAGGGTGAGTAGCACAGATGAGGTTGAAGATGGGTCAGGGGCCAGTTCATATAGGGTCCAGTGAGCCCTTATGATGGGATGTTTGAGTTTTATACTATGGCCTCTGGGAAGACACTGGAGAGTTTAAAGCAACAGAGGGGCATCATAGGATTTTCCTATTTTAAAAGGATCACTCTAAGAGGTGGCTCATACCTATAATCCCAGTGCTTTGGGAGGCTGAAGTGCAAGGATTGCTTGAGGCCAGGA